GGAAGGGGGTTGCAATTAAATTTGAAGGAATTTGCTTAATAAGCATGGTATCCATTTGGGTGTAATTGCGACTAAATCATGGTCACTGATGTGAAATAATCTGGTTATTATCTTGTCTTCTGCGTGCTGTATGCAAATCAGTCTTTACTGATTGCAAAGATAAATTGACAATGTATTTTTAAATTTTTACATCAGCTATCTTGATGTGGTTAAAGGTTATCGGCGGATGTATTATGCAGGCCACATCCATTAAGGGGAGTCTGTGACGTCATATCAATCAAAGGGGGTTGTTTCGCACCTTGTGATCAGTGCTTCGGTCTGGGTATTCATTCTGCCATTGTATGCTTTGCCTAGCTGCAGCACGTCTAGCGCTTCAATACCATTTCCCCACCCACCAACCCATTTTTATTCTAGAGGATTTTATCTGGTAGTAATGTCATTTTATTTTATGTAATTTTTAATCTCACATAAAATAGGATGTATAGACCACTATACATTGTATTTCGTTTCCACTGACTTGTCAGTGTGACTGGTGCCGGAGGTATGCCTTGGCAGAATTGTCATGGCTATCTCCTTTTGCTGCTAATATTACTGATTGTTACTCTCATTGTTACTGCGCAGCTGCTATGGCAATACTTGCCATCAAGCCTAGTTACAGCCTTGGACCACAAACGGCCTCCAAACACTAATACTCTGCCGTTAAACATGGTTACAATCGCCCAGACCAAATGGAAACCTGATTTTAGTGTTATAGATGAAAATACTCCTCTTTTAATTATAATTTTCTGCTAATATCTATTTTTGGTCGACGTTAAGGTAATTCCGCAGTAATTGTTCCCGACATGAGAATGTGCTGAAACTTCCCAGGCATGGAGTTTATGATATACTTAAAGTAAAATCACACAAAAAAGTCGGGGTCACCGACTCGTTAAGAAGATATGACAATCACAATATACCACCTTTACCTTAATATGGTGCCATCTTGACGCTCATTACGAGTAACAGCAAAATCACAACAGCCCGATATTTATTGACGTTTTTACCGCAGATTTTGCTTTAGTAAACCTATCTTGTAATTATTTTTGAAAAAATATTGTGTTTTGAGCAAAATGAAACTACTAACATGTAAAATTCTGATCCACAAATGTCTTTTCCACATTTCTTTACATATCTTTCTTTGAGAACATGCATGGACAAAGGATTTTTTTTCAAGATCCAGAAATGATTTTTCTTTTAATTTCGGATATGAAATGTAAAATGCATTAAAGAAATAAATTATCAGTTAAAAAATGGGGGTCACCGATCTTTTAAGGGAATTGTGGCATTAAAACGTGAAATACAAGTAAACAAATAAACTACAGACACAGGGAACCCTAGCTACACTTTTGTATGCCTTTTTTGAAAACATTGATTTTAACGTAATTCTTTGCACGAATGTAACCATGCAAAGATGTTTTGAAGTAACATAAAATTGTCATAAAATGATATTCTTTTTAAACGGTACGTATAATGGATGAAATTATAAGTTATAAGATGTGCGCAGTAAAAGTGCGCAATGCAAAACTGCGGAATTACCTTAATGTCTTGTCAGTTCCATATTCTTATTGCTGCCGAAGGCAGCACGCTATTCTTAACATGAAGTATCGCGTTTACTTGTGTCCATTCTCTGCCCGAGTTATGTATTGTCGAGATCTCGATTTTGTGTCCGTCTTTCCACAGGAGCCCAAGCGTTGATCTGTGTTTTAATTGAATTATAACACTACATTACACTATAATATGTCATATAATAATAATAATACTCCCATAGTCGAATATAACTGTGGTCGAACATATAATAACAGCATATAAGTTGATTTGTATGTTTTTCAGTTTAAGATCTATTATTAGCTTATATAAAAGCACCGCCTTTCGAACCTAACAGTCCGTTAGCAGGATACACGCGTTATTTCGCCTCCTATTTCGAATCCCGCGCGTCTCCCACGCGCGTATCCTGTGAACGGGCTGTCAGGTTCGAAAGGCGGTGCTTTTATATAAGCTAATAATAGATCTTAAAGGACATTGGCACCCAAAATTTTTATTACTTATATCTATTAGGTATACTTGCGGAATATTTCATTTCATATTTTGGCCGGTTTGTCGCGTTTAGTTGTTGAGAAAATTTGATAAAATAAGCGCGTATGCTAATTTATGCCACAAAATACATTATCTGACGTCATTGGCTGGGTAAACACAAATCAAATACAAATACAAATCAACTTATATATTGTTATTATATGTTCGACTATAGGAGTATTATTATTATTATTATATGACATATTAGTGTAATGTCAGAGGTGTAATGTAGTGAAATATCACACAGATCAACGCTTGGGCTCCCTGTGGTCTGTCTGTAAAGATGTCGTAATTCCGGGGAAATAATTAAGGCTTCAGGAAGTTTTTTAAACGAGGGGGGGGTCAAACTTTATTTTGTACGGCACACGGATCAAGTTCTTCTCAGGGACAGTTGCGAGCTTACTTACATTTTCATGATGCAAAACATGGACAATATTTTCAATAATTCAGGTAAGGAAAGCTTTATTTCTTTTTGGTTATACATGAAGGCATTTATATTTAGAACACTATGATTTCTCAACTTAGATTCAGCATGAATTTATCATGAATTTCAGAATTATCCTGCACGTCTGATCGTCTTTAATATAGTTTACAATATACAAGTAGTCAAAATCTACTTTTAGTTTATTTGTTTCTGTGGTTCAGTGCATGATGTCCCAAGGCGATGAGTTTATAGTGTTTGTTTTTTTTGCTTTCCATTCAACGCTTTACAAATTTTAAACGGTTATTCTTTTAAAAATCGATCATGAATTCCTTGTTTTCGGGTGATTCTTTTTGTAATCGAGTGATTGGAAGGAGTGGAAAGAGAGGTTAAGATACCCCGGTTCCGGTTTACGGGTACGAGTATCACCATTTTGTTTACCAATTTTTGCTGATGTCAGCAATTTTACCCGTAATTTCCACCCGTTTCTCCGCGGTAAACCGTGGTCTACACGTAAACGACAAACGGGTACGGGTGTTTTCTGTTTACTATTTGGGCCGTTTACATAGTACAAATTTTCAAACATCTTGCCCAAATAAATAATGCACATATGGTGGTCAAAGTTTTCAACAATTTATGGAGAACCTCAACAGCGAAAGTTGCCATTCTCTGATCGGTTTTCTCACGCCGGAGTAGTTGGATTTCTTAAGGTTACAGGACACCCTTTTTGGCGTTTTGCGGAAAATCGCTACTGCGCGCTCAATATCAATCCAATTTGAATCAAATTTTCACCAAATGTTCTCCAGTGCATGCAAAATAGTAGGAAAACGCCGATTCTGGGACATTTTGGTGACAAACCCCCACCCCTAGGGTGACAAAAAGACTAATTAACCACTACTGCGCACCCCTCCCGCGCATCCCGATGACGTCACTTCCGGTCCACCGCAATCAGCCTTGCCAGAACTTGCCCAGAACTATGGCGTCACTTCCGGTTTACAAAAACCGCACAACCGATGACGTCATCACGCCCTCCCCAAATTCCCCCGCCAGCCCGGCCGCCCCACGCTTTGGGTAGTCTCGCCGAAGTCTTACATAAACCTTCCCCAAGTCTTCCCTAAGCCTTCCCTAAGCCTTTCCTAAGCCTTCCCTAAGTCTTCCCTAAGTTTTCCCTAAGTCTTGCCTAAGTCTTCCCAAAGCCTACCCAAACCCTCCCCAAACCCTCCCCACCGCGCACCCCCTTCTGCGCAGATTTGGATCGCGTGATCTATGACGTCACTTCCGGTTGAAAGAAAAAGCTGAGTCAGCAGTTTTTGAAAAAATTTTCTTTTCGTATATAATAAAAAGGATGTCCATTACCAAAGTCTCAGACTTCTCCAAAGACTCGTTCGCTTTCGAAGATGCCGTCGGAAACAGTTACGGGTCCAAAAAGATCAGACTAACGGCACAAGATCAGGGTCCACTTCTATTGAAACTCGAGGACTGCTTGTCCTACGGAGTAAGTAAAAACAACAAGTTCGGTAAGGACAACTACTTCATCTCCCTGTCCCTGAGGGACAAAGTGGAGTTTGTGTCAGCCCTGGAACTGGTGGAAAAGGAGTCCGCCGATCACGTTGGTAAGCCGGGTGAAAACATTATGAGGTGTCTTTACCGAAAAGGTAGTACTCCGACACTGTACGTAAAGATCGACGGTGAAACGGAGATCTACCCAACGAGAGGAGACGACCCCGTGGATCACAAGAAGTACCAGGACAAGAGGTTTCGTCTTGACGCATCTACGTGTCCAGCAGCGTAACCTCCATTCAGGTGAAGCTGCACGAGGTAAACATACTGGAGGAAAAGCCTAAAGCACCCAGGAAGAGGCTTCTACAACGGAGGGATTAATCGGTTACAGGAATCCTATCAGAAATCAATTTTAATGTTTGTAAGAACATTAAAATTTAAAGAGCATCAACACCGCTGACGGGTAAGCTGTTCTCGTACTCAACAGGGATAACCGATCGGTCTTTCCACCGTATCCTAAACAGATTCCCCATACCATAAGAGCGAGCACGTAAGGACGGTATGGAAAACACCCACGACTCTGCGGAATCGTCGGGTCGTCCCAAATTAATACCGAACTCCCGACCGTCCAGCGTGAAGTTGTTTATTTCTCCAAGCGTCGAATCCTCTGGTACGCGGAGGAAAACGACAACACCTATGGGCGGACCGGAAGGGATCGCGTTCACACCCATAATTATAGCACCCGTTTCTCCCACGAGCCAAAACCTAGTGTCTACCTCCATATTAGCTCCTTCGTCCATGAAGGTAGTGCCGGCATCCTCGAATCTTGTGTCCTCACACATTTCCAGAATGAACTCCATCATTTCTTCGGAACATTCGAAGTACAATTGGACTTTCCTGTAGGTACCCATTGTCTTTTATTGTATAGGAAAAATTTTTTTTTTAAAACTGTTGACTCAGCATTTTTTTATTCTTCCTTTTCCGAACAGCTTGCTTTTGTACTGATCACGTGTTTTCCGACGGTGATTCCACCACTTAGTATTCCAATGAGTGGGATGTACGGTGTTACGTAACTGACGAGGTTTTTTATGTCTTTTCTAAGCAGATCGTTTTCCTCCAGCTCTTTTTTCATTTCTTTGGCATCCTTAACAGCGTCCAACGCCTCCATGAGTTCGGAGAACTTGGTGATGATAACATCGGCTAGTTGGCTGTTTGTGTTTTCCAGACGTTGTTATTCGTAGTCTTTGCATATATTTTCCAACGTTTTTTCGGATGCTTTTTTGATATATTTTGAGGTGTACCTGCATCGGCCAGCTTTAGTAGCTTTTCCTTCAGATCACTTGCGACAGGTGTGTCAGGCTCTACAGATTCGAATATGGTTTCCATTCCTTTATTTAATATGCGGAATAATTGTTTCGTGGGTATAGGGTCGGCGTAATAGTATTTCCAGTCTGGCGTAGTCGTTTTTTAGCGTATTAATGATTTCCTTCCTTTCTTCTTTTTCCGTGTTTGCAAGGTAGTCGTTCAATATGATGTCCGTATCCTTTGCGCTCGGGTTGTAAAAGGTTACGAGTTTGGATATATTTTCCGTATAGGGTTTTGCAATGGATGTAAGCTGTTGGGTAATGACAATGGTTGATATTCCCATATGCCTTGCGCTAAACCCAAGTTTTACCAATTCGCTGGTCCTGTTTTTGACGGATTGGCTACTAGCACAGTCATCAAGAACGATAAGACTATTTGTTCCTCTTGCAAAATGCGAAACGTATTCTAAACACTGGTTTACATGATCCTGCTTGCAGGGCATGGCTATAAAGTCCTTATCCATATTGTATTTCCAGCTCTGGTACGTTTTGTTCCATTCGTATGTGGGACATATTAGAAATATGTACTCGAAGTGGTTTTTATAGTCGTTTTCCAACATTTCCAGTAGGTAGTAGGTTTTCCCACATCCGGTCATTCCGAGAATGATCATGTTGAATGGTGTTTTCAGCGGTTCCATCCTTTATTTAATAACTAATACCCTGAAGGTCTTTTCGCTGATGTTTATGAGTCCATCGGATAGCACAAAGATGTTACAGAGGATGTCTTCGGACATCCCGTCGGTTTCGATCTCCAGAAGAATTCCTGGATTGTCGCCAAGGATCTTTTTTCCACTTCCAACAATGTGACTGTCATCAGCAGCTCTCAGATCGATCACCTGTACGTTTATGTCGTCGTTACAGGCGTTGTTAGCCATTCCGAACAGGTTTTTGCTTCGTCGTAGAAATTCTCGTATGTTAGTCCCTGACTGTATACAGCATTCGGTTTCCCCTCTATCGTGACCTTTACCCTTTCGATACTTGGAAAGACGTATTCCTCGCTGTCGGTTATTGTTCTTTTTCTGAAAAGTAGAACCACTGCCCTCATGCTTTCTCTCCGAACGTCTATGCTCTCGTTAATGCTTTCAACAGTGTTGTATGTTCGTAGGACAGGGACCTACCGGTCTCGTATCCTTCGTTTACCCGTTTGGCCAGTTCCTCGTTCTCTATGGTTTCGTATTCCAGGTGTATGTTCTTCAGTGTATATCCTTCCACCTTCTCGTTTGCCTGTGCAACCATAATCTTGTCGGCTTTTGGAAGGGTTATCGTGTACTCGAATCCGCTCTTCATGTTATACGGTGCGTAGGGACCGTGATCATTAAGAATTTTTCCGAGTTTCATCTTCTGCTCCTTGTATACCTTTGCCATCACCAGGTCGTAGGCACCTTCCGTTTTTGCGGTCCGATCGGCGCTATCGTCCTTCGACAGTAACTTTCTTGTGTTCTCGTTCATGATTCCGTATTCTACCATGTTCGCTCTTTTTGAATCCATTTTCCAGAGGTCTTTGTAGACTTCGATGAGACTTTCACCATTATTGTCGTATACTATTTTACCTCCCACCCTTATCATGAGTCGCTCGCACAGAAGTTTACCGAGGTTATTCATGAACAAGGATTTGGTGTTCTCGTTCCCGAACTCGTACGACAGGCGAAATGAGTCTGGAACGATACAGGTGTTCGGTTCCAGTTTTGGAACTACAATCCGGGTGTCGTTTCCGAGGTTGGATTCGTTTGGGTTGAATGTAACGAAGTTACATACCCTGTTCCCTACAATGTCGGAGGTCAGTGCCCTTTTGAAACCGGGCGTAAGTTCTTGGCTTCTCTTTTCCATTCCTTTTATTATACTAACTAATTATTAAATTTTTTGAACTTTGGCTTCGGCTCGTCCTGTACTTGTGGTTCTGCTGTGCGATCGGGCTTGTCCGTAGGTCTGACCCTACAGTATACGTAGTAGAATCCTCCTAGTGCAGCTGCTGCGACTCCAGCGTAAATCAGCGTATTTACCGAATTACCTTGATCGGAATTATTTTCAATGTTACGCCTTTCTTCAACCTTCCTTGCTTTTGCTTCCCTAGATACTGCTGCTAGTCTTTTACCCGATTCTACCCTTCTCGGATCCTTTGGTTTTTGGGTCTTTTCCGCCTTTGTTATTGTCGGTTCATCCATCCTTTGTTTAATATACTTACTTTTTTTCGAATTTCTTGTCAAATCTAGTCGGAGCTAGTTGCAACATAACCTTAACTAGATTTTAGCATGACCTTAACTAGATTTCAACATAACCTTAACTAGGTTTAGCATGCATCTAGTTAAAGTTTAGTCAAAGTTTAGTCAGATTCTAGTCAAAGCTAGTTGCAACATAACCCTAAGCAGTTCCAAAATCAACTTAAGATAATCTCGAAACCCACTGCAAGAAATATTTTTCTATATAATAAAGGATATGGATTTTCCTATGACAGTATCGGGAGAGATCGGCACTTACCGGAAAAGGAGCGTAAGTTAATGGAAGAGGAGCGTAGGTCGATAGAAGAGGAGCGTAAGACAGCGGAAGAGAGACGTAGGTTAAGGTCAAATCCTCCGGATTGGTTGGTCCTCTTCAGGCAAGCGGAAAAAGAGCGCTCGGATCTCCTTGATTCAGGGAAACCTGTAGAGTTTCCGAACAAACACTTTTGTTCCGAGGGACGCAAGCACCAACTTGCCCCCATAAATTGGGAATGGACGTGTCGTGAGTGTGGGCTGATTATCGGCAGGGTCCGCGATCCCTGTTACGACTACGATTGTTGGGACAGAGTGATTACGAGAAGTCGGGAAATGAGCATCGACGATAGGTTCGAATCATTTTGTATCGAAAGAAAAATAACATATTATGATCTATCAGCGCATGAGAGGCGATTGATAGCAGACGACGACATTTATAAAGTTCGTAATGCAGAAAAGCCTAGGGGGAAGAGGTTTCCTAATCTCAATATCCTGACCTACTAGATATGTAGAAGACTTGACATAAAGATAGACGAGAAATTGCTCAGCATTCTAGCAAGCAGACCTCCACACGATCGGTGTAAGGAAATATTTCGTACGTTGGGCTGGGAATATATCGAGTATGGTTGTCAGAGCAAGACAACCACAAAAAATCCTAATAAAACAATCGCAAAGAAGACGGTTTAAAGGACCTAAACATGTCCGACGTCGACTTCAGATACGAAGGTTTCTGTAAGAGGATGAAAATGACATACTCCATGTTATCGGTAAAGGATAGGAATAGAATCATGGAAGACATCAAGAAGGTGCACGACGCGGAGGAACCGAAAATGAAATCGCTTCCTAACCTCAACATCCTAACCTACCAAGCATGTAAAAGACATAACAATGGATGAGAAGCTGCTTAACATTCCGGTAAGCAGAGCCCCACACGATCGGTGTAAGAAAGCATTCCGGACGCTGGGTTGGGAATACGTTGAATAATTTTAACGCTTTTTATCAAGCATTAAAATTGGAATAGTAATTTAAGGGCGATGATGACGAGAAGAATTTCAACCGTTATCGGGATCAGGAGGCAGGACACCAGACTCATCCACGTTAGTTTCCGCAGTATCCGAATTTTCGTCATTTATTTTAACGTACTTTTTTACCGTTGTGCTGACGTATCCGATTTGGGTGTGAGCGTTGATAGTAAGATCACCGCGTTCCATACCGACCCCGAAACTGAACATTTTCCTTTTCCGGTGGTTTTTGTCGTACTTCACTTCATTTGTAGTCTCAGGTTTTGCGTGTAAACATCCCATTTTACTTACTCTTCTTTTTATTTTCCGTTGACTTCGGTTTGTCTTCCTTTGCGGTCTTTGCCGACGGTCCCGCCTTGTCTTCCTTACACGACGTAACGCACTTGATGTTGGTTGTCTTGGATTTAACGTAACCGAGATTCAACCCACCTCTATTGAGTTTTATATCGACGTTGACGGTTTTATCCTTTTTCAACTTTCCCTTAATCTTGCTGCTGTCGCTATTCATTCTTGTATTAATACGGAAAGAAAATCCATCTTGAAGCAATAACCCCACCAACAAACATAGTGCCGAGGAGGTAAACCAGATTGTTTGATGCTTTCGGTATGCTTGTTGTGTTAGGATGCGGTATGGGGTTCTGCTTCTCGCGTGGTATAGGGTTTTGGACTTTTACATCCGGACTCTCCTTTATCTCCTTAGGCTTTGAGTAGTTAACATTCGTATTACTACCAAACTTCATGTCCTTTGTCGCCAGTGTTAGTGTGTTGTTGTATCCCGCTACTTTTTCCTTGAGTATGATCATATTGGATGGTACCAATATCAGTCCGGGTGATATTGCCATGTTAAGTACAACGTTAGTGTCCTTTATTGCTTTCCTCATATTGGAGATGGATACCGATACATCGTCTTGCGCAACGGTGTCTTTGAAAAGTTTGTGAAATACGTCCTGAGTCTGCAGGGACTTCGCCCCCTTACCAACGATAGACCAACGTGTTTGTGCTTGCGCGCCTAATACGCAGTAGACATAACTTTCGACAGATTGCTGAAGTAACTTTAATCCTAGAGGTGTCAACCCGTCTGATTTCTTTGCTATGAATTGGGTGTAGCCCGTATCGCTGTTGTTAGTGACCCTGTCTACTTCCTGATAGCTAATTCCCATCACACCACCGGTATGGTAGTATGAATATCTGTAGTTTTTGACCCTACTCTTATCCGGAAGTCTGCTATGCCAGAGACCTATTTCCATTTGTCCACGGTGGAATTTGTTAACCCACGTTTTCTGTGTGGGCATGTTTCTCTGCAAGGATTTTAGCATATCCTTCGCTACGTATTTTGTCATTTTGCTCGGATTTCTGAGGAACCTGCGCATGTGGTAGTATAGGTGATACCTGGCAATACTTGTGATTACCTTTGAGGTTCCCTTGCTTTCCAGCTGGTGTTCCGTACTTACCCCACACTTAAACGTGATAATGTAAGCAGCCAGTATCGATGCAAAATAGGGATCGTTTATATAATCGAACTTTACCCTGGTGATATCCTTTGCGGTACCTGTCCACTTCGTGTCGAGATCGGCGAAGTTGGATACAAAGCTGTTGTGGGAGGTGTTAATACAGTCGCAAACGTAAATTTCAAACCTATTTATTCTGTACGGAAGTGGATCCCTGTTATGTTTAAATGTTTGAACGGTTCCGTAATTACCCCCATATTCTCTCCCATTGGTAAAGGTACCACGTCCACTTTTTATTTCCCCTGAATGTGCTGGATTTGATGTCGTAACTTTCCGCGTCCGTAACCTTAAAGAATATGTCCTTGGATTTCAAAGTTCCGTCCTTTGCAAATTTGACCTGAAAGTCAAATTTAGACATTTCTGCGCCTGGATACCTTTTCCTAAAATCCTCCTTCATCTTCCGTCTTTCAATGGGTGCTGCCGCTTTTACTTTTTCGTAGTTCTGTCCGTAATAGTTACGAAAGATGTCTTCACTGGTACTCATTTTATTTAATACATATAATAAAAATGAAGAAGTTAACGGTGTTTATCGAAAACGGAACTACCGAGTTTTTTCCGGACAAGTGTACGACGAACGCAGAGTCAGAATTAATCCTAAAGAATGCAACCATCTACTGGGCTTATAAAAACGTACGTTTGAATGTCAACGATAATATTACCTATGGACAAACGAAGATTACCTTCGAAGATGGCTACTGGACCTTCGATGCAATAAAGAAAAAACTGAAGATAGATGGAATAAAAATAGAACGTAACACACACAACAATACCTGCACGATCTACCCGGCAACCGGGACAGACCTACATTTAAACGAATTTTCTCCACTAATAGGATTCCCAGAAACGGAGATCCTAACCCCCGGAGTGTGGGAAAGATCTCCCTACCTTATAGGTATCAATCACGGTCTTAAATATATTACCATCGAATGTGATGTTGTTAATACATCCCTAAATTTTGACGTAAACGGTAAAGGAAGTTTTACAGTGTGCACGTTACCCGTAACATCTGACCAGCATTTAAACGGAACAACAACGTTTTTCAAGGATATTGGAAGTAGGGTTTATGTTAATAACGGTTCCCCCAACAGATTCTCCTTCAGTATCAATACGAACATCGACGATAAGGTCAATATGTCCGCACTCCTCGAATTTTATATCACATAAATAAAATGGAAGACGGACACTTTATTACCGAACAAAGGTTAAGGGATATCTACTACAATCCAAGTACCGGTTATCAATCCGCGGAGAAGCTCTACCGTAAGGCAAAGGAGGAGGGACTGGACGTTAGTGGGAAAATGGTGAAGGACTGGTTAAAGACCCAAGACACCTACACAAGGTATAAGCCTATCGTTAGAAGACACAAATTCCGAAGGACATTTGTTAAGGACCTGGCGGACCAAGTGCAGATGGATTTGGTGGATATGGGAAAATACAAAAATCAGAACAAGGGATATTACTGGATACTAACAGCTGTAGAGATCCTGAGCCGGTACGGATTTGCCATTCCCGTCTAGACGCCATAGATGAGCTTACGAATAACTACAATCATACCAAACACAGCAGTATACTAATGAGACCTGCAGACGTAAGCAAGTCGAACAAGGACCAAGTATGGATCACGCTATACGGTCACGGGTTAGGGGAATTTCCATTACCTAAGTTTAGGGTTGATGATACGGTCCGAATAACGAAGTATAAAAATATCTTTACCAAGGGATACGAAGCAAACTTTACGGAAGAGATATTCAAAGTTGTAAGAGTATTCAGGGGAGATCCTAACACGTACGAAATAGAAAGTCATGACGGAGAACCGATCATCGGAAAGTTCTACGAAGTGGAACTATCCGCTGTGGACAAAAAGGACGATGTGTATAGGGTGGAGAAAATTCTGAGAAGAAGGAAGGGTATGGTACTGGTCAAGTGGTTAGGATACGATAGTAAGCACAATTCCTGGATTCCAGAAGAAAATATTAAGGATATAAAATAAATGG